GATTTCATCGAAACGTCGCTATGATACTTCTAATCTTACACGGGAGAAAACCCGAATGACCAAAGACTCACATATAAACACCCGTGAAAACCTTAAAAAACATATATATATATATATATATATATATATATATATATATATATATATATATATATATATATATATATATATATATATATATATATATATATATATATATTCTAAACAGATAAAATAAGAGTGAACACTAGGAATATTATAATATATAATATATAATATTATATATATAATGTGTACATAACACACACACACACACGCGTGTGTGTGGTTGTGTGTGTACCTATATTTTTACTGAGAAATTAATTAGACAAATTTCTGATTGAGATTTGTGCACAAGAGAATAAATGGCATGTTGATTGTCAGTTATAATCTTATTTAATGGTGCGGGAATTCATCTGGTATATTGGCTTCATTCTACAATCTGTGCTTAATATTTCAAGAGATCTGGGCCAAGGCTGATTGGATTTGGAGTGGAAAGCAAGCGAAGAACAGATATTGCCTATGAGAATTTCTCATTATCGAGTTTGGGGGATAGCTTTCTCATATACCAATGAGAACTGTTTATAAAATAGCACCATGAGCATAATATGTTTCCAAAAATTCAAAATGCCCTTAAATGAGGTCAAGCTTTTGAAGCTTTTGATAGGTATGGATAAACAATCACCAGAGCATGATTTTGTACTTGAATAAGTATATTCTACTAATAATTTATATTACAGTTTCTGTGTTGTTTTTTGGGGTAATCTGTGGTTCAGTTGTGAAACTCTGGATGATGAAGAAGAAGAAAAACCCTAGGTTTTCCTCCTATATTGGCTAACATACTCCTCTGGGTCACATGTTTATGGTGTCTTAAAAACATTGACCATGGGTAGAACGTCATCCTTTGCATATTTCAGAAGTGTTGGATTACAAATTCAGATAAACCACAGCCATCAGAGATGATTACAATGGAGTGGGATCCTGCACAACTGGAAACCATTAGGGAGATTTTTCTGATGTCTTTGGATCCAGTTCTGATCACAAGCTCAGGCGATAGATTTTAATAGCAAGTTGGAAGTGATTCAGTATATTTACATTTTGCAATTGAAAAATGATCCAGCAACTTTATAAGTAAGGGTAGACTGAACTATACATGGGAATAGATCTAAGACAGATTCTACATCTCTTTTTTGGCTTAGTTTATATGACAAGCACATAGTTAAATATGTTCTATATAGGTGTCTTAAACTTCACAACAGTGATAATGTCTCAGATTTTACATAGCCATCTGTCTTTAAATTTAATTTTGAAGTTCATGTTTAAGCTTTTTTCCAGCTAAGTTGCTGGCTTCATTTTGATGGCTAGATCATTGAAAACGTTTTAAATTTATTTTTATATTTGGGCTCACCTTTTTTTTTTTTTTAGAACAGGATAGAATAGAATATTCTTAATTTGCCAAGTGTGATTGAACACACAAGGAATTTGTCTCCGGTTCATAAACTCTCAGTATACATACACAGTGATAAATCATAAATCATAAATAAATCATAAGATACAACCAACAAAGTGATGGTCATAAGATACCAATAGGAGAAGATAATAGGAAAGATGAGAAAGATAATAGTAATGCAGTCCTGCTACATAGTTATATATCCTTAGGCATAAGACAATGCTGTGTGAACTATATCTTTAGCAGAATGATGGCATGGTGGAAAAAACTCTTTTTGTGTCTAGTTGTTTGGGCATGCAATGTTCTGTAGCAGCATCCTGAGGGTAGAAGGAACTTTTACCAACGAACGTTTTAAATTTCAAGTTAAACATCATACTGCTGAGATTTGTTTCATTTTTGCAGTTAATAAACAAGATTTGCAAGATTCATGTTTAAAATTTAAACTTTATTCATTTACCTCTCTCCTCCTTAATACATATTATTAACTTCCACATTATTTCTTTTAGGTGAGTTTGTTTTATTAGCTTACTTGGACTTCAAATAATTTAGCCTGCAATGCTGTACTGACCCACAATAAGTTCCATTTACATCACTCACACTTACTTCGTAACAGACATTTCAAAAAGTCATTGATGAGAAAGTTTGATTTTTAGTATGCTGCCTGGACTTTATTCCTTGCAGATAATGAAAACTGATTCAGTAATCAATAAAAAACACTTTTACATATTTATACATTGCTAAGTATTTAGTATACATCCCTAAGTATTTAGTGTTGCCTGCTTCTTTAATTGAGTGGATTCTTAAATGAGAAAATTCAAATACCTATTTTGGAAAAAGACACTGAATTTAGGCTAAATTACAGTAGGTAATGGCAGAATTCTCACATGCTAGGCTCCAGATATTCAGATATTGTTAGCCTTTTTTCACTGAACAGGAAAATATTTTAATTTCATGGGCATATTTAGATACTCATTAGTGTAAGATAACAGAACTTTAATGTACCCAAAATAACTGAGAAAATTTAAAGTGTAATTAAACTAGAATAAACATCTTTCATTAGTTGAGTTTATAAATAACTATCCATGTTGCACAGAATGGAGTATATATAACAAACTTGCCATTTTGTATGCAACCCTTGCTTCCAGTTGATTTATATGGGCCTAAAAGTTAATTGTTCAGCAACTAATTTCAAGATCAGCTCAAAATAGTTGAAACTCTTAGTTTCAGCAAGAATGCACATTTCTGTAGAGCTGAAATGACCATGTCCTTAAGTTCTGCATTTCTCATGTTATATGTATGATATGTATGTTATATGTAGTGATTAATACAATAGCTAATAGAACATACCTGAATACAATGAAATAATTTTAATTGTGATATTAAGTTAGCAATATCATAAAATGGACACAGAGATAGCCAGACAAATTTAATGGACTTACATGACTTGAGAATTAATTAAGTCTGGTCACTCCTCATGATAGACCAGGTCAAGAAATATGCACATATATATATACAAAGTAGAGTATCTTTCAAATTCATGAAATGATACGTAATTAAAGTCAGTAATTTGTTTATTTAAGGCTGATGATCAGCAAGTCATTTGCTGCTATAATAAATCAATGCAGCCTTCCAGTTACAATTACTTTTTAATAAATGTATGATCCATCTTCTGTGAGAAAAAATGTTCATGTGCCACACCGGTTGAGCAAAATTATCTATCTATCTATCTATCTATCTATCTATCTATCTATCTATCTATCTATCTATCTATCTATCTATCTATCTATCTATCTATCTATCTATCTATCTATCTATCATCTATCTATTGTATTTTATTTATATTATTTATATTTGTTGAATTCATGGTCAATGACCAAAGAATTATGACATTAGTAAATTACTAATTAGCAATATACCCTGCTTAAGAGAACATAGTCCAAATTATTAAATCTGGTTGTTTCAATAATTTAAATGGCCAAGTACTGCTTATAATCTGGGCCAATCTATCTGTGAAAGTACACTGAATACTTCAGTATGTAATACAACTGTTTTAATCTCCTCTAAATAATAGAGCTTCTCACAATACCATATCATTTGCATCATAGCAAAAAGCAAGCTTTTTGCTGGACCAAACAGGCATCAATAGAGTTTAAAAATTCTTGCGCAATATTACATTTATGCATCCTGTGTGCTAACTGCTAATTTATATGAGTCTCAAAAATAGAAGAGGAAAGAAGGGAACTACACAACAAACTGGACTGAAAACCAGCCATAGTGCATTGTTAGCAGCTTGCAAGAATGTGGCATGCTGCAGTGAAGATATTGTGACACAGTTGTTAGCCCAAGTGCTGACAGTGAAAGCTGACCCAGCTTGTTGGCAAGACAGGCAGAAAGCTTGTTCCACTTTCTGTCATAGACTCTATTTCCAAT